AGGAATGCATCATTCTTTCAGAAAAACTCGGGCCTAGAAACCAGTGCAGTCTCTCATTTTTCTCATGCTAAAGCACCTGCACTCGATTGACCCCTCTCACTGTGGTGGGACACACACAGTGTTCCCATGTCAATCACTTCATGAGCTGCACTTCTGCAGTGTGCTCACAGCTTTTCCTAATTAAAAAGCTGGACAGCTGACAGCTCCGAGCAATTTGCACCATCCCATCCTGCTGGGTTCATCACCGCAGCTCAGTGACTCTCATTAGAATAGAAGCAAACCCCATTTCCAGGCTTCCTGCGATCTCTTCTCCCTCCCATCTCATCAGAGCTGAAAGAGTGCTCCAAAAAAATCAGCACGTTTTGTGGTGTGCTTATGTCCTCAGCTACGAACAAAGCTCTCATCCCAAGAGATCCAGCAGTTTGCAATGCTCCTGCATGAATATCGCAACGGAGCCTCGATACACGAGTTCTGCATCAACTTGAAGCAGCTCTATGGGGACAGTAGGAAGTTCCTGCTCTTGGGTGAGTGTCTTCCCTTTGTGTCTGGCTTCGCTTTTGCCTGCTGCTGGCTGTCTTCTGGTTTCCAGATGAGCTCCTTGGCTCCTGAAACACCTTGATTTGGTGGCTTAGTGGTAGCGGTCAATGTCCTTGTGTCCCTGGAGCAGGTGCTGGGTCCTAGCCAAGCAGTGAGGTGTTCAACACAGTATAGTTTGGGTGTTCAGCTTGTTGGACTGATGAGGGTGCCTCAAGGACCTGTGCTCTCACAGCCCTACCTTACAGTCGTGGAGGGAAGGTGTGCACCAAACACAGTGCCAGCAGACACATGCTGACACCGTTACTTGGAAAGCAGGCAGGACCATTTCCTTTCCCTTCACTAAAAGGAGGCCAACTGCCTCAGAGGCTCTCAGAGTCCCTCAACTCAGGCTCCTTGCTTTGATTTTGGCTCTAATAATCTGAAACAGCATTAATAGCAAGGAGAAAAGGAACCTTGGGGCTGAGCTTAGAGCCCTGCCCCAGCTCTCACTCGCAGATGCCTGGTGCTACTGCATGCAGTGCCTTTTTTTTTTTGTTCTCATTTAGCTGGAGAGCTGCTGAAAGCAGACAGAGTGACTCAACAGCGCAGGGAGGGGGGGCAGCGTGGCCTCCACTCCCTTTGTCCTGGGCACGCAGAAGCATAGTCAGACATCTGCACCAGCACAAAAGCATTTTCTTTCATCCCTATGCACGCAGCCTGCTTGCTTTTCATGTCACCATTACCAAAGCCAACGCACAACATGATCCCTGTGCTGAGAGGCTGATTTTATATTGACCACACTGCTGAAAAGCAGCTTGGACTTGGCTTTCCTGTAAAGAATCATAGAGTGGCTTAAGTTGGATGGGACCTTAAAAATCACAGAGCTCTAATTCCCTCCTGCAGCCCCTGCCAGAGGTCTTGCACCTTTTCAGGTGGACAGTTTCCTTGGTGGTGGGGATCACTATGGCCTAAAGGTGGGGCTGGGAGAGGTGAGGAGAGTCAGCAGCACACCCAGAAGCTTCCTGAGACAGAGCTGCAATGCAGCCACTCACTCCATAACCCCACACTGTGACCCCGTGGTGACAGCGCCCAGCTTGTGACGCTGACCCACAGCAGGGTGCAGAGATGGGGACAGATGGCCCCCAAGTGCTCTGCATGCACTCTGTCAGGAGCCTTAATCTCATGCTGATGCTGTTACACTAACGAGATGAGCAAAGCCCAGCAATATGGCTCAGTGATGAAGTCACAGACAATCCTTTGGAGCTCGGAAATCCCACTTCAGCCCCAGGAATTGTTCTTGGCCCATACACATATGCTTTTCTTGGGGCTGTCAACATGACATAGAGCCATGAGATGGGAGTACCAGCGGCTCCAAAAGCACTGCTCAGAGCCTGAACCCCAAAATGAGCTCTTCCAGCAAAGCCTATCATGTGAAACGCTGCAGCTCATGTTTTCCTCCTTGTGTTTTCTTCCCTGGGAAAGGCCTACGGCCCTTCATTCCCGAGAAAGACAGCCAACACTTTGAGAACTTCCTGGAAACCATCGGAGTGAAGGATGGCCGCGGCATCATCACAGACAGCTTTGGGAGGTACAGGCGGACGCTGAGCACCACCTCCAACTCTACCACCAACGGCAACGGCGCAGCTGGCAGCTCGGATGACCAGTCTGTACCCTCAGAGGAGGACGAGTGGGACCGCATGATCTCACACATCAGCAACGACATCGAGGCGCTGGGCTGCAGCATGGACCGCGACTCCTCCTGAGAGCCAGCAGGCTTTGGCAGCACCTGCCCAACAGATCCTCGTTTCCAAAGAGGTTTTCAGGGTGGAGAAGGATGTAGTTACTCTCCCATCTGCATCAACAGCTGTCTGTGCCCTCTTACTGTGAAGGTGTGCGTTGCCACAGGCACGCTGCAAAGGAGGAGCTGGGTAGGAGCCCATCCTCCAGCCTTCCCTGGTTCCGTCACCGCGCAGGGAGCGAGGCTGGGAGAGCCCTGTGTGGAGACAGGTTGCCTACAGCCCTCTCTCCCTCCCTGGTTTACAGTTTTGCACATGGTGTCCTTCTTGTAACTGCTCTCCTCCTCCCATCTTTTGAATGAAGTTTACCACAATGTGAATTATTTAAGCCTAGCCTTGCAGTTGGCGCAGCATTTCGCATCCAGACCTGCAGGTGCTCTGCTTCTCCCCTCCCCTCCGTCCTCCTGCAGCATGCTCCCAGCTGGGCTCCCAAATTTTGTGCTTTTGCTTCTGTCCTGCAGGGAGCCTGGATTACAAACCCCATCCAACCGCTCCTTGCCTTTGCTCCAGCAGTGGCAGGAAGGAGGCAGCACCTGCCCCATGTTCACAGTGGTGGGAGGTAGCACAAAGCCTCTGCTGGCTCCTCAGGTCCCAAAGGAAGTTATCACACACTCACGGAGGTGAGAGCTGCTCCTGGACAAACACAGTGGGGTCTCCAGCACACGGTGTACATATTGTAAATATTTTACATGTGGTTATAAATACACACTTATTTTTTTAATCTGTATCCCTTGCCCAGGAAGCAATCCTGCTTGAAGGGAGGTGCTGGCAGAACCCACAGGCATGCAGCTCTGCTTGCTGGGTGCACAGGAGCTGGGGAGGAGCAACCACAGTGCAAAAATACAAGCAGCAGGAAGAGAGCACAGGCTTGCGCAAGCTGTGCTGGGCAGGGAGCAGAGCTGGAGCTTCTCTTTCTTTGCCCACTTCTGTGGGTACAAGGGGAAGCACAGGTTGCAGCCCCTTTAGGAAAGGCCTGTCCCTGTTTTGTTTCATACTCAGGAGTGCTGCTGTGCTCAGCATTGTACCCCCTTAAGCCCTGCCCTTGCCCAAAGCAGCTCCAGCACACCCCTGTGAAGGTGCTGAGATGAAAGAAGGACCAAATGCATTGAGGAGTAGGGGAGGCTCTGGTATATATAGCACAAGGACACAGAGGTATCCCCATGCCCTTGCTTGGAGCTGGCTGGCCTCTGCAGGACCCAAGCCCAGACACTTGCTCAGCACTTTGCAGGGCAATTCAGCCCCTCCAGCACATTCCTCTGTGCTTTGTCCTGCTGCACTGCTTCCACTGCAGTAACACATCCCAGAGCTCCCACTGCCCTTCAATGTTGCTTATCCTCTGCAGCCCCATACAGAAACTTGTCACCATCATCCCAGTGCCCAGGCTGCTCTGTTATTAACCAAACACAGTTCTCTGCCATCCCACTGTGGATCCACCACTTTGGTGCCATCCTGCCATGCTCCCTTTGCAGCTGGGACAGAGCCAAGCCTTCCTCCCTGCATCTTCCCCCCCTCACTCAGCTCTGCCTCTTGGGGTACTTCTTACCCTGCTCCTGCAGGCACAGCGGTCCAGAATTGCAGCCCCAGTGACCCCCCAGCTCAGTGCTTCATCTTTAAAAGGTGCACACACACGTGTCCTGCTATGGGGCACTTCCTTTTAAGGCAGCTCTACACTGCAAATCATGGCCATAAAACTCTTCCCTTTGCCATTGAGGCTGCTCTGTCAACAGATGGACCACAAAGCAGGAGAGCTAGGAGAGCTGCAGCCCCTGCACAAGCAGGGTTAGAAAAAGTAAAAAAAAAAAAAAAAAACAAAAAATAAAACCTCACAAGTCAGGAGCAGAGGCATTGAGCTCCCACTGAGCATGGGAGCATTGCTCCAGAGCCCTGGCTATGCTGAGTCCTCAGTGCCTTCTTACACACATGCAGATTTATAAAGAAGAAAACACCACGAATGACACAAACTGACGCTTGAGTCACTGACAGCTTAAGAAAACCTGGAAAAACCCTATTTTTGAAAAGATTGTATACAGAGATGCATTTAGCAAAAGCTGTAGCAGCTCATGGTATTTTTTTATACTTCGTTCACTGGGAAATGTGATTTAGTTCTGGAGAGAACTGTTTGTCAATACTCTGTTGAGGTGACCGAGTGCTTCCCCCACAAAACCCCACTGCTGCTCCCCACCACGACAAGCCCCCGTGCTGCCCAAGACCCCGAGCACCACAGGGGGAGCCGGGGACGCCCCGGGGGTGTTTTGTATGTATGCTTTCTGTATGGAGTATTTGTTACAGGTAAATATAACTCTGCACCTGGCTGTGGTCTGTCTCCTTGTTAAAACCCTCACCTGCCTCTCCACAGTGCCCCAAAGTACGTCATATAATTTAACAAGAGGCATGCAAAGCCTCGAGGTCTGAGGTTTGAGCTCCACTGCTCATCCCCCAAGATGGTCTCCTGCCCATTGCACCCCATCAGGATAGGGAACAGAGCTCAGCCCCATCCTCAGGGCAGATGTCACTGCCTACAACCTCCATCCCAGCCACCCCACATATCCTCAAGCCACTTGTCCCACCAAACACCACATCCCCAATTACCTGGTCCCCGTCTTCTGGGCCACACACCTCAGGAGCTTTAGGACCCTTCCAAGCCCCAGGGAGAGGACCCCAATCACCACACAGGGAGGCAGGATGCGATTCAAGTGATACATGAGGCCATTTATTGAGCATTAGGAGATGGGCAAGGCAGAGGCATGGGGCTCAAGGAGGGACATCAGGGCAAGGAGAACTGTGCACCTATACAGGGGGCCAGGGCCGGCCGCTACATGGTCAGCTCCTGCAGGAGAGAGCATAGCGTCAATGCAGGGCTGGACTGTACCCCCAGAAATATAAGGGATGAGACACCCCTACTCACCATGATGGCATTGACGATGTCGTTATTGTTGTGCCTGAGTGCCCGCACAGCTTTGGGACGTGAGACATTGGCCTGGGCCATGACCAACTCTATGTCCCGCACTTCCAATCCTGTCTCATCCACCTGCAGAAGCAGAACAGTGCTGTCACCCCCTGGGCCTCCAGGCAACCTGGAACCCCAACCCTTCTGGTAACCTCCCACCACTCACCCCAACACCCCTAAGCCAGCCCTGCCAGCAGCCACCCAGTGTCAAATTGTTTGCCTCCCATCACCCAATTCCACCCCAACAGCAGCCTCCCACCAACCTCTTCTTCCTCCTCACTCTCCTCCTTGATGGTGAGCGCAGGCGCTGTCTCTGTGATCAGTGGGGAGTGCTCCATGGGCACCTTGAACTTCTCAGCCGCAGCTTTGTGCACCTGCTGCGACAGGTCCTCGATCTGCAGGGACAAGGAAGGTGTCACTGGATGGTCCCCATGGGTCATCTGACCCCAGGATGCACCCACAGCCCTGCCCCACCTTGGCTTCCCCAAAGACAATGTAGATATCAGACGCGGGGCTCTTGAAGACATCAGGCTTGGTGATGACAAAGAGGATGTTCTTGGACTTGCGGATAGTGATGCGGGTGACACCATGGATCTGCCTCAGTCCCAGCTTGGACATGGCCTGAGGAAGAAGACAAGGGTGAGCTCCATACATTATGTCCAACATCACCAGCGTCCCCAGCCATGGGAGGACACAGAACAGGGGCAGTGCTGTCCCCAGGGATAACCAGGAAGAGACCACCCTCCAGCACGGAGACACGCTGATGGCAGCCACCTATGACCTCAGGGACACATGCCCCCTGCCAAGCTAATCCCCCAGCCCGTGTCCCTCCCCTCCCTTCCTATGCCATTGGGATGGGGACATCACCCCAGTGCCACCACCGCAAAGCCACAGGACAACCAGCACCCATCCCACCTTCCTGGCCTTCTTCTCACTGCGGCTCTGCTTGGCTTTACTGATGCTCTCCTCCCCGGTGCCCAGCGAGTGGGTGAGCGGCGCCTGTGGGGCACAGCATTGGGTGATGGGATGTCATGGTCTTCCAGGTGCCTGGGGACAGAGTCCCCAAGCCTCCAGTCCTACCTGAGTCTGCATCGGCCGTGGCTCTGCACCCTCTGGCTCCTCCAGCTCCGGGATGGACTCATCGTTGCTCTCAGACTCATTGCACGATCCTACACAAGACATAGGGGCCGCAGTGAAGGTGACATTCATCTCAACGTCCCAAAGCCCCCCTGAACCCCACCCCTCACCTTTATGGTTGGCCTCACCATGCCGTGATACCGCTTTATCCTCAAGCAGAGCGATGGCAGGCAGGTGCTCAGCAGGGCTGGGGACACGGTAGGGCAACTCTGCCTCACTGGAGGAGCTCGATTCAGACTGCACTGAGCCCCGGGGTGCACGGCGGGGTCCCCCCTCTGCCTCCAGCCCTCGTGCACCCTTACTGCCAGCCGGTGCCTTCCTGCCCCTCGTCTTCTCCTTTTGTGGGGATGGCTCCGGGGCTGCAGGGAGGACAGGACAGGAGATGCTGAGGTCACAAGATGGACACCTTCATGGTGAGTGGGAACCCAGTGTGCTCAATTGAATACCTCCCCAAATAGGACTTGGTTGGGATTGCAGGGATCCCGTGTACTGTTCCACGCCCACCCTGATCCCAGTACTGCCCAGCCCCACACCTCTTGGGACCCTGAGAGGGCACACACAGCATTGGAAACAGGCAGTTCTTACCCTCCAGCAGCTTCCTGGAGGCTGGCAGGACAGACGGACGTTCCTCTGGCCGCGTGGCCTCGCTGAGCCCTGAGGTGTCCTCCAAGCATGGCAGTGGCGAGGAGGAGAGAGGAGGCACTTGGATGAGTTTGGAGAGCTGTGGGCAGGGAGCAGGCAGCGGGATGGCAACGGGTGCCACAACCTTGGGAATGGGCTCTGCAGCCTCAGTGGGCACTGCAAGCTCAGGAGTGGGCACTGCAGCTTCGGTGGGCTCTTGGGGCATGGAGTCCTCTGGGGAGCTGGGCTTTGGAGGGGGTTCCAAGGGCAGAACAACAGCCTCTGAGAGGCTGCGAGTGGCTTCCGTGCCTTCATGGTCATCCTCAAGGCTAGGTGTGGAGCTGGATCCTGCCACCATCACTGCCTCCTCTTCCTCCTCCTTGGGGCTGGATCCTGCCACCATCACTGCCTCCTCTTCCTCCTCCTTGGGGCTTGATCCTGCCACCATCACTGCCTCCTCTTCTTCCTCTTTGGTGCTGGATCCTGCCTCCTCTTCCTCCTCCTTGGGGCTGGATCCTGCCACCATCACGGCCTCCTCTTCCTCCTCCTTGGGGCTGGATCCTGCCACCATCACTTCCTCCTCTTCCTCCTCCTTGGGGCTGGATCCTGCCACCATCACTGCCTCCTCTTCCTGAGGGATGGATCCCACCACCACCTCCTCCTCCTCCTCCTCCATGGGGCTAGATCCTGCTGCTGCCACCACCACCTCCTCTTCTTCCTTCTGCAGAATGGATCCTGCCACCATTATCACCTCCTCCTCCTGAGGGATGGATCCTGCCACCACTACCACCTCTTCCTCCTCCTTCATGGGGCTGGACCCTGCCTTCACTGCCTCTTTCTCCACTTCCTCAGGTGGGGGCAGGGAATGCTCCCCCTCCACCATGACTTTGGCATTGGGGTCTACACTGAGTAGGAGCAGGGACTCCTTGCTGGGGGGCTCCTGGCCCTGCATAGAGGCTGGCTCTGGCTGCAGCGAGGCTGGGGGAGAACACTGGATGTTCCCTGCATCGCTGGGCTCTGGGGTCTCTTTGGGTTCAGGTGCAGCAACTTCATCCTCAGCACAGGGAGGACATGGCAGCTCCACAGGGGCTTGGCCAGGGCTCCCTGGGGCAGGCAGGTCCCCAAAAACCCCCTGCAGCATGGAGGCCACTTGCCGGCGGTCCTCCGCACTCTCCAACAAGGCACCAGGTGGTGGGAGCAGTTCAAGGGGGTCTGGGGGGGTCCCCACATACACCTCTTGCTCTGAAGCGGTGAAGTGCAGCGGTGGGGGTGCAGGGGCTGGGGGCAGCACGCAGAGGGCCAGGCAGGGCTGTGGGGCCGGAGAGGGGACCCCAGGGGCAGCCACTTCCCCTGCACTGTCCTGGGGGGGGTTGAAGAAGCTGGGGTCAGTGTGGGAGCACAAGGTGTCCAGCAGTTCTGGGGACGAGTCCTCGGAGGCAGCTGTGGCATCCCAGTCACCATGGATGGACTCTGGGCTCTGGCCTTGCTCCACATCCTTGCTGGAAGCTTCATCCTCAGAGGCAGCATCTGGCTCATCCATACCCCCCAGTGCAGGACTGAGAGGCTCCTCCGCACCCTGTGTCACCTCACTGCCACCATCACTCAGTGCCGCCAGTGGGGACTCACTGCCTGAGGCCACCCCATCCTCACAGAGGGATGCGTCCTCCTCAAGGGACTGCTCAATGACATCATCCTGCACATCCCCACCGAGGGTGGGGGTCCCCAATGGTGCAGGCATGACATCTGTCCTGCTGTCCCCATGGCCACCCACATCCTCCTGGGGTTCCCCACTGTCATCACCTTGCTCAGGTGGACACAGAAGCTCAGGACTCTCTACTGGGACAGCATCAAGCTCATGGTCACCATTGGCAGTGGGTAGGGATGGGGTGTCCCACCCCAGCCCATTGGCTTGGGGGTCTTTGGTCTCCCCAGCACAGGGGGGCTGCAGGGTACTGGCTTCAGCCTCCAGCTGGGCCTCCATCATGGCAGCCAGTGGCACCTCCTCCTCCTCCAGCAGGATCTCCTCCTCCAGGAGTGCTGGCTCTGTGGGGACAGGGGGCTCTGGTGCAGGACACTCCTCTGGGATGGGGTCCAGCTCCTGCGTGGTATCAGGCTCCAGGGTAGAGGCCTCCTCCATTTCTGAGGAGGAGGAGCTGAGGGTCTCATCCATCCGTTCCACGTTGACCTCTGCAGAGAGGGGCTCAACAGGGACCTCATCCACCAGTTTGACATCAACTTCTGTGGGGAGGGCCTCAGTGGAGGTCTCATCTGCAGGCTCCATGTTGCCTTCCACATTGGGGGCCTCACTGGGGGCTTTGTCCATCAGCTCCATGCTGACTTGCACGAGTGCCTCCATGGAGGCCTCACCCACTGGCTTTGCGTTGACTTCTGCATGGAGGGCCTCAATGGAGCCTTCAACCACCGGCTCTACACCGACTTCTGCAGCAAGGTCCTTGATGGGTGCCTCATCTGATGGTTCCACACTGACTTCTGTGGTGAGGGTCTCAGTGGGGGCCTCACTTGTCAGCTCTACATCAGCTTCCATGGTGAGGGCCTCCGTGGGGACCTCTTCCTCCTCTGGGAGGGCACCATGCTGCTCCGTGCCCCCCTCCATGCGTGCATCCTCCTCACTGCCATGAGTAGGCTCCAGAACCGAGGGGCTCAGGGCCACCTCATGCTGTGGGGACCCCCCCAGTGACACTCGCTCATGCTCCCCAGTCCCATCCAGCTGTGCTGTGTCACCACGCAGGTGCAGCTCAATGTCCCCAGATGCCTCTGAGGAGGGCTCGGTGTCCCCAGGGGTGGCGGCGGCCATTTGGGGTCCCCCCAGTGCGTGGTGCTCAGTGCCGTACAGCCGCTCATCCTCCTCACCATCATAGGAGGCAGAGTCAGAGGAGGCTGAGGTGTCATCATGGAAGGCAAAGGACTCATCCACCCCTTCGTTGATGGAGGTTTCAGAGAGTGAGCGCAGGAAGGAGGCTGAGGTGCTAGCGTCCTCCTCTTCCTCCTCCTCTTCATCCTCCTCATCCTCACCAGAGAGCGGCTCGGCCGCTGCCTGGGCCGGCACCAGGGTGATCTCCACAGCCTCAGCCTCGAAGAGCAGGCTGCCACGGAAGGGCAGCAGTGCAGCAGGGATGAGCCCAGGGGCAGCCATGTGGGAGTGGGGCAGCCTGAAGCTTTCCTCCTGTCCACTGCCTTCCCCATCATCGTCATCTTCATCATCCTCCTCCTCCTGCCCTATGGAGGTCACAGCCACATCCTCATCCTCAGAGGAGGAAGAGGAGGACGAGGAGCGGCGGATGAAGGCTGCAGGACCAGGCTCGCCATCAGGGACCTCTGCCAGCAGGTTGGGCGAGCAGGAGGGTGACGTGCTGGCCGTGCCTGAGGACCCCCAGCTGCCCCCTTCAGCCGTCATGTAGGAGCCGGATGGGGAGGTGGGGGGAGAGCCCAGCCCCTCACTCTCCGCATCCCCTCCATCCTCCTCAGTCTTCAAGCGGGGCCCCCCCGTCCTCACCGGGGTGGAGGGGGCTGTGAAGAAGAGGTCAGGGTCAAGACGGGCAGGGGGCAGCTCAGGATGCCGGGGGGGTGTTTTAGGGGGCAGCTCGGGGGGGCAGTGCGTCTCCTCGCCCATCACGATGCGAGTGTCCAGGGGGTCAGCAGGGAGCAGCGATGGAGGCGGCGGTGGTGGGGGGCAGCCTTTGGAGGGGGGGCTACGCTCAGCTGCATCATAGCTGGCCCCCTCAGGCTGCGGGCGGGCTTCCTCTTTGGCAGGCATGGGGGCAGCAGGGTCCCCTGGGGGGGCTGCAGAGAGAAAGCGGAGGTTAGAGCATCCTTGCCCCCCCCCCCCCCCCCCCCCCCCAAACAAAACTACCATAAGTGAGCTGAGGACCCCCTCCCCCACTCCATGCCCTCATACCAAGGAGGTGATGGCAGCCATCCTTAGGGCAGGATTATAGGTGCCCCCCCTGCTGTAAGGGAGTATTAAGGAAGGCTGAGCTGGGGGAGGGGGGGGGCATTGCAGGGTTAGGGGACTGTGCCAGAAGAATAAGTAGGAATAATTATTAACCCTCCCCCCCCTTTCCCTCCCTCAACCCCATTTATGTACATGATGTCATTGAGTGCCCCAGGGCCCCCCTAAAATATTAAGACCCTCCTATAGGGACAGGATACAACACTGCCAACCCCCCCAAACCCCAGAAACCAACATATACCCTCCTTCCCCCCCCCACTGTTTAATAGGGCACTGAGCTCAAAAGGACTCAGCCCCATCAGCCCTAAGCAACATGAATATAAACTGCTTCTCAAACCCATAGGAGCCACAAAACAGCTCTAAGGAGCCCCAGAAACACAGCAGCAACCCCAAAATCCTCAACACAACACCCCTTCAGCCCCCATTACCTGGGGTCCATCCAGGCGGCTCCATGGAGCAAGGGGGAAATCTGGAAGCACCCAGAACCCCACCAGCAACACCCTACAGCACCAACCCCACTACTGCCCCATATGTGCCCCATAGGGTTTATATAGGGGTGAGGGGGTGTGGTCAGGGTACAGGGGCTGCTGGGAAGGGGGCAGGGTCTTCCCCAGGTGTTTAAGGGGAGGGGGGTGGATTGGATGGGGCTGTTAGGGTGGGTTCTGCCCTGTAAGTGCTGAGTTGGGATCAAGGGTTGGAGCTCCTTCCTATAGGGTAGCAGGGGAACATAGGGTCCCTTAAAGCTGTGTATGCTACAAGGACAATATGGGGACATCCCTGTACCCCAGGATATAGCCTGGGGGGGGGGCTGTGCCCTAAATCTGAACCCTCCGAGTAGGGGTGGGGATTTTAGGGCCCATCCTCATTCTATCCCAGTGCCCCTGTGAGGGCGGGTACCCAAATACTCCCTCACTATGGGGACACCCCAATACAGGACTCCCCCTTATTGCTGAGCCCTCTCTATGTTGTCTTCCCCCCCCCCCAATTCATAGTGGTCCTCTTTAAACCCCACCCTGCCTGGGAAGGGGGCGACGGAAGCCCTGAGTCCCACATCCCCTCCTGCACCCCCTCAACCCCCTTTTACAAAGTGTCCCCCACCCCATTGCCGTGGGGACACACAGTGGGATGGCAGCACCACTTGGGGCCCCCCAGGGCACATTGCTGCAGGGTGACCTTGGACCAGTGTCCCTAGGGGTGGGGGGGGAGGTAGGGGGGAAGGGAGTGGGACAGGGGTGAGGGAAGACGTGCTGCTGTCACCCCTGGGTTACATGGGGATGGGGGCACAGTGGGGTCTCAGGGTCCTGGGAGGGGGGTGGTGGCCCCAGCATCTTCCCAAGGGTGAAGGAAAGCTTCAGCCTGAGCAATGCCACTGTGTCCTCCATCCCTGTATCTCCCATTCCCATATCCCCCCATCCTCCAGCTCTGTCCCTGCAGCCTCCATCCTCCATTCCCATATCCCCCATTCCCATATCCCTGCATCCCCCATCCCCACATCCCCCATCCCATTATCCCCCATCCCATTATCCCCCATCCCCACATCCCCCATCCCCACATCCCCCATCCCCGTATCTCCCATCCCCGAATCTCCCATCCCCACACCCCCCTCCCACCCCCCGCATCCTCACCTCCCTCCAGCTGCAGCCCCTGATTCGTGGCCGTCTCTCCAGGCATAGCGGTGGGGTTGGGGGACCCCAAATCCGGGGGGGGACCCCAACCCCAACCCCAATCCCAAGCCGGCCCAGCGCGGCGCGGCTCTGCGGGGTGAAGGCGGCTGCGCCGGGCGAGGCAGAGCTTGGCGGGGGGGGG